ACTCCTGACGGATCGCGCAGGCAGCGTCCAATACAGCCTGCATTGGGGCCGTGGCCTGGAAGCGATCATCGACGGAATAGAGGCTTGTCTTGACAACGGAAGGCGTCGCACACCGGGAGGTGCTGCCCCAGCCGTCATCGTGGTATCATATGCCGGAAATGATGTGTACGGCAACAACGGATTTGTGGGCAACCCTTGGGTGGACACTAACGTGCTCCACCGGAACCCTGCCAAGCAGAGGGCGGCCTATGAGTGGCAGGCAGAGCTGGCACAGAAACATGCCCAGCAGATGAGGCGTTTGGCGGACTTGAGACAGAGGAAAGACGTGGCAGCCCTGATCGTCATCTGCTACTGCGATTCGCAGAGTTATGGACTGCCGGAAGAATACGCCCGTCAAATGTGCCAATCAGCGGATGTCTTCACTCGCCTTGGCGTCACGAATGTGACAGGCACCACCCTGGTTCGATCGTGTCAGCGGTACGATAACTTCCACTGCCACAACACAGAAGAGAACCGGGCGATGTTCGTGAAGTACTACGCAAATGTTGCTCTGTTCGCCTACCACTACTGGGTGCTCGCTGGCGTTGATGTGCTGCGAAAAGATGCCAACCTTTTCGCGAAACCTCGTGGGGAAAAGACCCACCGTCAGCATATGCTTGAGCACATCTGGAAGCGACGCATTGATTCCGGGTACCTCTTTTTGGGTGACTTCGACGAGCACGATGAGCTTCTCCCGGGTCAAAAGCGGCAGACTGCCATCGACCAAAAGAATGGCTGGCTCCTGACGGTCTCTGAGACTACTGAGGTCGCTCACATGGATGATGCTGGGGACCCAGTCTACGCGACCAAGGAGCAGATTGAAGCTGCCAAGCTCTTGCCATTCAATCAGCGACTTTACAACATGCCACGGGGAACCGTTGGTCCGGATTTCTATGACGAGGGTCAGGATGTGCAAGTCCCGGCCGAGCCGTCGGAGGCTGATCAGACAATGCCGGATGCAAGTGTGCCAGAAGTCATTGAGATTGACGACACCTTTGCGCCCAGCGCTGATTCGCCTCCGGGGACGGAAGGCCGAGATGCAAACAACCAGGCTCCCGTGAGCACTCCGGGCATGGAGTTCGTGTCTGTCACCGCTGATATGCCAAAGCACGGTGACACCGAGGTGGACCCTGTGACCATCACGGAAGAAGAAGAGCTTCATGTATCCAATGAACCCATTGCGGATGAAAACTATGTCAATGAACTTCTCAAAGATCACCTTGACTCCGCCATCAGACAGGGCTTTGAAAACAAAGATCAGCCAGATGATGACTCAGATGAAGAAATTGTTTTCAAGGAACCGATCCTCACATCTATGCATGCCGACTCATGTCAGGTCGCGGGTGTCACCTACCAGTTGAGAAAGAAGGAGGATGAGAGCGATGTCATTCGTATCTACATGGCAGAAGAGGACATCCCGCAGCTCACTGGTGAGGCACTCAGAAAGTTCCGCGAGGTCACCACTTTGGGGAACGAGCCTGACCTGGCCAACAAGGCACCACAACCTAGGATCCCGAAGGCGAAAGCATCAGGTGAGCCGGGGGCGCCAAAAGCGCCACATGAGACTGCAAAGTCAAAGACTAAACCGGCATCACCGAAAGCAAAAGCACGCCCGGCGGGAGCTGAGGCCGATGTTGAAATGAAGCCAACAGAGGAAACTCAGCCCAAAGTACCAAAACGCCCGGCGGGAGCTGTGGCCTCGGATTCGACCCCGACAGCAAAACCAGCTGTCAAAGCCAAGGCCATGCCTAGGGCACCACCGGTGCCTCCCGTTTCGTCGCCTCTTGGGGAAAACGAAGTTGTGGCATTGCAGTCAAGATCGGTTCCGGGTGCTGCCAATTTGGCGAACCTGAACTCGAAACAAGTCTGGATTTCCCGACGCGTCTCGGGCTTGCTCCGAGGATGGGAGCATAGCAGACAATCCTGGCACAAGGTGCAGCCTCCGAGCTTCGACGCTGGGCTGTGGATGGATTTTGGCAAGGTGTACTCGTTCATCAAGCGGAAGTACGATGTCAACCTTACCAACGATGAACTGCTGACGGTCATCACATCCAATCACAGATTCATGCTCGAGGTAAGGATTGCGCCAAAGGGGACTTTGGTCGGTGGAAAATACCAGTATACACCTCTTCGAATCAAGGCGATTCAAAACCATAATGAATGGTCAAACAACAACGTGAAGGATGCACTTCCTGAGCATGAGCGCTTTGTCACTCTCGATGAGGAGTATACTTCGGTGGAATATCTGGCCGGCAAATTCCCTCGGGTTCCGCGAGGTGCGCTGGGAAAGGTGAAGGAGGTGGCCCCCACCATCCTCTATCACTACACGCACCGGGCAGCACTGGTTGAGATCATCAACATGGGGTTGATTCCCGGCGGCAATAGAACTGGAGCCAGGTTCACCTTCTTGACGAAGGAAGATCCGTGGACGATTTCGGGCACTGACTATGCAGCGATGGCGGCGACTCGCCCCATCTGTGTTGCCTTGGATCTCCAGATGATGATCTTGAACGGGCACCGGCTCATTGAAACAACTGCTGGTACAATCCTATGCCCTGACTGGCTGGCAAACCGGAACGTGATTTATGTGTATGACATGGAGTCCCGATGCTATGCCTTCGCGAACCATGTGTACGCACACTATCGCGGCATCATTACCGGTGAAACAAAAGCCTTCAATTCAGCACGCACTGGGGGACCAGTTGCCGATGACGATGAAATGGTGAAAAGCCCACTGGAGAAGTACACCTACCAGGTCCTTGGTGACTATGAGAGGTGGTGTGGTAAGGTGGACACCTTTTCCCCATTCGTGTACGGTGAACTGTTTGAGCGCCCAGGCGTGAAAGACCAAATGATATCAGGAAAGCAGAATCCTGATTTGGAAACATACGAGGTCACGTATGTCGTTCGCAGGCCCAATTTCAACGCCTACAGGAACCAAGTGTCGCCCAAAGAGATGCTGCCCAATTACAACCGACCTCGGTTTGATTGGCGCAAGATCCACCCCGAGACTGAGGGTTTTGGCAACACTCGATGGATGGTCGTTGAGGGCATTCAGATGCCAGAAGCTCAGTGCCCAACGTGCACAAATACCTACACCCATGGCATGATGTCCTGCATCACATGCGGCACCTTCCTCAACAATGCCTCGGATCTGTGTAAAGCTGCTCAGCTCATTCGGATCGAGGAAATTGCAGCAGATCTCGGTATCGAAGTCACGATGGATATGGTACCTGAGGACAGGCTGCAAGGAACAGGTGTGAGGAGGACGCCGGCGGGGACGCCTGGCCATGAAGTTCAACGTGCTTCTCGTTCGGGCATCAACATCTTGAAAGCGAACGCCAAAAGCCATGTCCAGAAGGCGGACAAGATGTCCATGACGGTATCGCAGCGACAGCTGGTTGACGCCTTCTACGCGTTCAACTGCGCAGCCCAGGACCTCTCTCCAATCTGCATTCAATTCCTGGAACGATTGTCAGATGCCATCATCCCTGACCCTCCGAGGACAAGGGAAATGATTGCTCGTGGCATCGGTCATCGATACGCTGGCAAGGTCATCTTCATGAACGAACCAGCAAAAGGGAATGATGCCGACCTAAGCGAGGACTTCTTCATTTATTGGAAGAACAGGCTGCACCGTCCTGAGACTTTCGCTGCGGACTATTGTCAAGGTGCAAAACGACCCGCAATCCTGGGATATGGAGGTGAGTGGCGAAGTGAGAAGACGGACCCTGATGATGTGTTGGATGAACTCCTGGAATTCGTGATGGGCGATGCTCAATTTGTACCTGGCTTGGACATCAACCTTGCGAAAGAAACAAGGGCACTTGTGATTCCCAAGGCCAAGGCCGCACCAGGTCCAGGTGAAAGTCTGGCCAGGGCAACACGTACTCAGGCCGAGACATCAGAGCAACGCTGGCGAGGAGCTGCCGGAAGTGATCAATACCATGATTGGCAGCAGTCATCCTCATCGTCTTCCTGGTGGTCATCATCCAACCGCAACTGGTGGCAAGATGATCGCGGTCGTGGCAGTGACTGGCGAGGACACGACTGGTGGAGTCAGCGCAGGTGGTGAACACGACGCACAGCGGGAGCTGTTGCCTGTGGAGAAGAGAATAAAATCTACGGGTGACTCGGCTGTCTTTGTGCACTGTGTTTTCCCTCAACGCACCGCGGGAGCGGTTGCCTGGATGACCGTTTCTGTGATGCACCGGGGGACCGGTTGCCTGAAACCAGCAGCTAATTCGTTTGAGTTCAGGTCGATGAACTTGGCTCTCAATCCTTGCAATGAAGAGCGCACATCTTTTGTTGTGCTTTGTCGCCACGCGGGAGTGTGTGCCTTGATGGCTTTGTTCCTGCTTTCTAAAAGGTTGGCATTGCACTCCCAGTTCCGCTGCGCAAAAGAGATTATCTTTGTGAGCTTGCTTTGAACTTTCATGCATGAATCAGTTGAGACATGTTCAACCCTAGCATCAAAGCATGACAGTGCAATATATGATCCGTCCTTGAGGTCAACCATCCTCTCCATCTCAAGGCACGTTCCGGTCCAATGCTTCGCACGTACCGGGGGACCGGATACCTTAGTAGGTCCTTAATTAATGCACTGTACATAACTTCACTCCTCCCATTTTCGTTCAGCGGGGGGTGTTGTTTCACGCTAGGATGTCGTATACATGTCTCACTTTACTACCGTTTGGCTCAAGGAAAACCAGGTGCGACTTATTGGTAGTTCTCGGTCGTTTACCTGTAACCACATTACTACTCACAAAGGTTCTTTCGAATTCCGGTTTTGGAGTGGACAGAGATGGTCGTGATGCCCGATGGTATCCACTTGGGCCCATTTCCGGCGCTAGGTAAGTCACACTTGGTGAAGAAAAGGAGCGCTTGCCGTTGACTGCATTGGCCACAGACCTTTGGCTTCAGCAATGACAAACGTGATGCTTGAGCATGTGTGAGCCGCTATGTCTCGGCGCGGTTTCGGCCTGCTTCCTGTTTTGGCAGCACTGCTGGTGGCTGGAGATGACAACAAGGTTGACGGACCTGTAGTAGGCTGGGCGCCTCAGGACGGCAGATGCAGGTATATATACTGTAGTTGAGGCGCTTTGATTGAAAGACTAGCAACTAGAGTTGTAACCCTACGGTCTCCGGTCTGCATTTTTTGACTGGCATGTTCTCGGCATAATTATGGGGGACTTGCAGTGTGGACCAATGTGGAGACCAACTGACTGCATGGAACTATGAAGCTTGGGTCTGCATCCACCATTCTCCTCACAAACGAGTTTAGTTCAGCATACATATACCTGTGCACACAGTATAGTTAGAGGCATGTGACTGTCCTTCTTGACGGCAAACTCGTGAGCAGGCTCAGCACACGGATTTTCGATGCTGGTCAATTAGACACAATAATTAATATGTTATTGTTCTTCGGCGTGGCGCTGCATCCAGGTCTTGATCTTGGGACGACCTTTTCTTGCGTAGGTGCCTTGTATGTGTGGATGCCCGTGTGCGTGTTCAGGCATCAAAAAAACCAGCACACCAGTCATGGAAAGTCTTCCAAAAACTCAAGAATGCAGCCTAGACAAAACCACAAGAAATCTCCTCGCTTCACCAGATGACTTCATCCCAGGTGTCTACAAGAATGGTGTCGTGGAGATTGTGCCGAGCGATCAAGGCAATCGCATGATGCCGTCCACTGTGGCCTTTGATGATGAGGAAACCCTCGTGGGTGAAGCTGCAAAGTCTCTTGGCCAAGTTGGCGCGTACCTCGATGGGCACACACACAGACACTCACGCACGCACTCACTCACTCCCTCCCTCACTCCCCTCCCTCACTCACCCACCTACCCACGCTCTCACTCCCTCACCCACTCACTCGCAAGCACCATGTCACGCGCCTCCTCTCCATTAGTTACTTCTTGAATCCTTTTGGCTGCCCAATAACTTGAAACATCAAGAACCATGCTTTAGAGCAGCATCTAACAGCTAGGAATTCATTACATCCACGTGCATAGGCTTAGACGGCATATAGCGACCACAAGATCTAACAAAACATCCAGTAAACAAGACGAGGCAGGCCGCTCTGAGAGAATGTGAACGCTCTGAGAGAGTTTGAATTGCCCACGTTTGGCGGAGGAATACGGCCTCACGGATCTTCGATGTGAAGCGCTTGATGGGACGTCGCTTTGAGGACTCTGCCGTGCAACGGGACTTGAAGACCTGGCCCTTCAAGGCCGAGCTCGTGTCGCAAGTGTCAGGAAGGGGTATGAAGGGGTTTGAGTTTTGGTGTGTTTTGTGGTGGGGAAGAACCCATCATTGAATCGCATTGGCAAAGTAGTGAAAAACAAGAAGCTACTAGTAGCAAAGGGCATCACTACTAGTAACAAAACTAGATAAACTGTCGGGGTGGGTCCGGAGACAGGGACCTCAATTACTCCAGGTGGTGGCTGACTCCGAGGGCAATGCAGCGATCAGCATCAACCGCAGCGGTTCCTTGCCATTTGCCTTTCCTTGTCAATCCTAAGCGACTGTCGCTATGTTGGCATTCTGTATAACTCTGTACCCATGGCATATCATGGCAATAAGTTCCTGGACAACTGAGCGGGAATTTCAGACAATTGTGAGCACTTCATGGCATGGGTTTCGAAGGCCACTACTGTATTGAATCATTTGGATGGCTGGCATCCACTGGCTGCACCACGCTCCCTGAGGTAAGGCCAAAGTGCTGAAACCAGAAGACATCTCTTCCCTCATCCTCCAGAAGCTCAAGGCCAGAGCCAGTGACTACTTGGGCCGCGAGGTCTTGCATGCGGTGGTCACTGTACCGGCTGTCTTCGATCACGCCTCTTGGCTGAAGTGTTTGCCGTTCCCACAGAGTGCCCACGACTTGCCGGTTTGTGTTTCGCTGTCAGACTGCGCCATTGTAAGCGGATCATGATCATGCATGATCATGCAATCATGCATGTATTTATGCATTTGTGCGCTTTCCAACGGCAACTCAGCGCTGTCCCATGTTTAAATCTACAATCAAAACCAACATCTTAAGCTGTTGGGCTGCATCAAAAATGCATGAGTTTCTCTCACGCATGGTGCACGATGTGCTGCGTAAAATGCCACCTTCGCCTTTCTGCAGGCCATGCGCCAGGCAGTGAAGACAGCGGGCTCCTTGGCAGGCTTGGAGGTCCTGCGGATCATTAACGAGCCGACAGCAGCGGCAGTGGCCTATGGCCTGGAAAAGAGAGGAACTGAGGAGATTCTTTTGGTTTATGACTTGGGTGGTGGCACCTGCGATGTCCACTGCAAATATATTCTGGAGGATCCAAGCTCTATACATGTTAAGTCCTCGAGGTCCAAATGTTCGTTTCTTTGAGTGGCACTGGTCGGGGGTTCGTTTTTCCTTGGATCCTCCTGAGAAGTTTTGCAACGATTCGCGCTTGCCAATTGTAAATGACCTCATGCGAGACAAGATATTTGGTTTGTATGACTATGCTATATGCATCTATATGCTCTGCATGTACATAGTGGGAATGGTTCAAGGCTTGATCTCCACTTGATGCAAATGCACATGTGCAATCCAGGTCTCAATTCTTCGATCGGAAGCAGATGGGACTCTGACGGTCTTAGCTTCAAGCGGAGATCCTCGTTTGGGTGGTCAGGATTTTGACCGAAAAGTGGTGGCACATTTGGCTAACACCTTCAAAAAGAAGTCCGGCACCTTGGCCGCCACTAGGGGCTCCTGAGGCTCCTGGCCTTACTAGAAGTCCGGCACCTTGCTCCAACTGGAGAGTCGACGGGTCGATGGTCCTGGATTCAACGGGTTTTCTGTTTGAGAGAGAGAGAGAGAGAGCTGCAACCAACTAGTCGCAAACCTACTGTCAAGATTGTGGATTTAATTGGATTTTCTTAAAAGGATTATAAAGATTTGTAGTGGGAACCTGTAGTTGTCTATGATGCAATCCATAGCGTGCAGCTTGCAGCTGCTACACCTCTGGGTGCGTTCTGTCGGGTGCCGTTGCACCGCTTTCGCTTCCTGCCGGTTGAGGTAAAGACGCTGACCTGACCGCCCTTGAACGGCTGCGGGTGGAAGTAGAGAAAGCCAAGAGGAAACTCAGCACGGTGCCACAAGTGACGATCAAAGTTGAAGGACGAACTCTGCGGATGAGTTAAACAATGTCAAACATTGGAGTGGAAAATGATTAAGCTGCTTCATTGTGGTTAGCGATAGTGGCTAGCCTATAGCCATGGGCACTGCTTCAGCGAGTTTTGCACATGTTGACTCGGTGTTTTTGTGCGATCGCAGGATTCTTTGATGGGACGGACCTCTCCGAGACTTTGACGCGGGCACAATTTGAGAAGCTCAACCACGAGCTTTTCATGAGGACGTTAGAGCCTGTCCGTGCCGTGCTGAAGGATGCGGGCTTGGAAAAGACCGATGTCAACACCGTGATCTTGGCAGGTGAGAATCCGATCCAGTGATTCTGAACTTATTTTTGTTGGTTTATTTGGGGATCTTGGAGTTTCAATCTAGTGCAACATTTTGACATGCAGCATTTTCCAGCAGGTTCAAACTAGCCCCCCCAAATCCACAAATTCAGTAGTATTGACAGGACTATGCCGGGACAAAGCTGGAATCTGGAAATCAACGATGAGTGGGGATGATGGAGTGTAACTTTTCTGTTCAAAATCCACACGCAGGTCAATTTCCACGCGTGGTAGTGTTTGGACTTCGTATGCTTTTCACATGTCACCTCAGCAGTGCAGGCGGTTCTGCTCGCATTCCTAAAGTGCAGCAGATTCTGAGCCAATTCTTCGATGGAAAAGAGCTTACACGCAGCATCAATCCTGATGAGGTGGTGGCTTATGGTGCTGCCATACAGGCGAAAAACCGCGGCGAAAGGGAGAAGATGGGCCAAGATGGGCCTTGAACGATTTGAATGGTGTTTCACCATGGTTTCACCATGAACCGTGGCCATTATTGAGGTTGGATACTTGCACCAAGGGCCGAAGCTCCACAAACCTCTACGGTAAGGATGTAGGTGCTGTTGTAGAGCAAGTCTGCAGTGACTTCGTCGCTTGCCCAGGCAGCCTCCTTGAGTACCGAGGGAGATGAGCAAGAGGTGCCGCTGATAGATGTAACTCCCCTGTCACTAGGTATCCAAACAGCCGGGGGCTTCATGACCAGCGTCCTGAAGCGGAACACTCCGCTGCCTGCAGAGAACACAATGGTTTTCTCCACCCACAAGGATGGGCTTGCTTGGTTTCGATTTGCATCCACGTTCGTTCTATATGGTGGAGTTGAAGAAACAAGCTTTGGTTTCCTAGCTGATCTCTATTGACTAGTGGTTGAGCACACATCCCCTGCCAGGACAACCAAGAGATGGCCACCGTGAAGGTCTTTCAGGGAGAGCGGCTCATGGCGAAGAACAATCGCCTGTTGGGCAGCTTTCAAATAAAAGGGAGGCTCACCTGCAAAGAAGCCTTTGCCTAGTTCAACTGTGCTCACTCTTTCAAACACCAAGCTGTTTGGAGAAGTTATATAGCAGAACCATGAACATGTTGTTCTGTTTGTCCAGCCAAGATCCTAGTATATACAAAGGATGCTAACGATGCCAAAACATCATCATCGTACTGCACTGTTCCTTAGATGGAAAATGATAGACACTTTGAGTTTGACCTTCCCTCCTCATGATGATGACAACCTCAGCAAGCCAAAAGACGTTGGCTTGGAGATTCGACCGGGTCAATCAGGATACCTCCAGCGCCTCGTGGAGTTCCTCAGATCCATGTAAGCTTCAAAGTGGATGTGTTACTCGGCAGGCTATGGATATGCTTGTGGGCTAAAGCAGGGCTAAAGCGTTATGCACGGAAGGCCCGAGTGTAGCGCAGGCTGTAGCAGCTACTGCCCATAGGATACCGTGCAGAAACCCAGTGCCATGCAGCGCCTAGTGCTTAGGAATGGTTTGCTCTCTGTGGAAGCCAGGGACACCAGCTCTGGCCAGAGCGGAGAGCTCAAGGTCGAGGATCAGCCAAGCAACTCGTTGCCAAGGTCTCTCACCATGCTTGGTGCCTTACCAGGATGTCATGCACCCTAAAACCCTGAGGCGATAGACCGTGAAGGGTTTTGAAGCGAATGGGGTAACATGAAATGCCATGAGACACCTGATGCAATTTCTTGTCACCGGATTGCTTTCTTGTGGAATCTTGTGGACGCAGATGCTCAGTTATTGTATAAACAAGTCCAAAGCCCAGGCAAAGAGCAGATTGAGGAGATGATTAAGGAGGCAGCAGACTTTGAGATGCTTGGTTTGAATGAAGATTTGCTTTACCTGCATCAACTGATCCCAACAATACCGTTTTTTGCTTTCAGGCTGCTGCGTCCACTGCCCGGTACCTATGTTTTAACCATGTCATTCCTTCTTCACCCAGCAATGTTGAGCCTGTTTTTTTTGGTTGCCTCCTGGTTCTTTGGTCCTGCGCTGCTTCATGAAGACAAGGACGCAGAGCGATTTATTGTAACGATGTTTCTTTGTTCCCGATTGTCACATTGCAGCCGATAAGGAGAGAGGACCAGCAAGACTTGGCAAGGGCAGAAGCAAAACTCGCCTTGAAGCTCCTCATAAGGTCTTTGCATTTGGCGGCAGAGATGGCGCTGGAACTCCCGATTTGCCAAGTACGCTTTGATGATTCTATGATATACTTTGATATAACATTCACTTGCTGAACTTGTAGTTTCCTTGGCTTGTGAAAACTGCTGGAGGCCTGTCACGCGTAGAATCATGTGTGGAAGGATCATTTGGAAATGCTTTTGCAGGGGGGGATGCGACCGTTTCGGTTAGACGGTTAGTTAGACCGGCCCAGGAAGAGGATGCCTCCACCTTCCTGGCCGCAGCCAGTGATGCGCAAGACTGGCTGGCAGCAAACCCGGATGCCGCGGCCGAGGAGATCCACGAGAAGCGGGAGGAGTTGGAGGGGAATGTGCCGGAGATGCCCAGTCAAAATGCACCGCAAAGTGCTGAACTGGACATGGAAGGTCATGATGAGCTGTGATAGTGATCAACAGCGCAAACAATTGGCGCATATCTTGCGTTTGCCCTTCCTCCAGCGGCTTCAGATCCTGATGGAATGAACTTCCAGATGGCATGTGAGCATAGGGCGGTGATGGACACTGTTGACAGAATCGAGGAGACATGTGGCTTGGGGTCTGAAGGGTCCGCCAAAAAAACCATGAAGTGCTGCTAGGGCAAAGCGCGAAAAGATGTCGCATCGCGGGAGGCGATTGGCATGTCACTGTGGGTGGCCATGGCAGAAGTGTAGTTGCACGCGTTTGAACGTGTGTGAACGCTGTTTGAACGCTTGAACATGTGTGGGCGCAACATGGATAAGGTGCGTCGAAGCTGGCTATTAGATGCTACTGCTATATATTAGCAAACAAGCCACATGCTTGATGAACTGCTTCCATTTTGCGACTCAACGCAGCGCTCTTCAAAGTTAAGGGCGGACTGACATGAATTTTGGGTCAAAGGCATGGCAGGTTTAACACGAGGCCCTTCCCAAATATTTGTGGCAGTTTTTGTGGGAGACTAGATCATGAGTACATATATATTTAGTATTAGGAGCAAGGACGCTACTAGGGCTCCTGGCCTTGCTACTAGGAACAAGAAACTACTAGGAACAAAGGGCATCGCTACTTGGAGCAAAGATGCTTATTTAGGGAAAAGTGTTGGATCGAAGTCGCTGGTCTCCGCTGGCCCTTGAAGACCTCGCTGCTGCCCATGGCCTCTGTTGCTTTGCCGCTTCCATGTGCCGCTCACAGCCTACTCTTCCAGCCGAGGACTGGAGGGATGATGAAGGATGTGGAGTGTGTGAGACATAGTGTGTGAGACCTTGTTCCTAGTAGCTTCTTGCTCCTAGTAGTAAGGCCAGGAGCCCCTATCCTTGCTCCTAGTA